GAGCGACCATTAACCCGACAACACGCCAGTAGACACCTATTGAGCCAAAAAACCTTAAATTATTGTCATCGAAAATTGAACTTTGAGCGATTAAGTTTTAAATCATTGGATTTTTGCACCACAACCAGCTTGAATTAATTTATTATATAAAAAAAATATTTCGTTCAAAGTTGCCATTCTACAATCTAAAATTATAAGACTAAAAAAAGAACGGAACCCGTAGGACGAAAAAAAATTTACGCAAAAAAAATCAAAATTAGGTCAGGTCTATGGTTTTTTTGAGTTACAGGAGTAAATCTACAGCGTGAATTTCCAACAGCACCGAAAAAACCCAAAATGTGGCAACCAGGTTGACAAAACGTAAGAAGAATAACAAAAGGCCGACAACGCAACTCTTCGCAGAGTTTTTTCAATTTCTTATATACTAAGAAAAAAGCAAGGTCAGAAAGGGAGTCGAACTCCAGAGATTAAGGGTTCAAAGCAATCATTTCACCTCTGCACCATGTGAGAAGGAGACTCCAAACTGTTATGCTTGAATAAAAAAGCAAGTTCATTTTCTAACAAGTTTTTAAGAAACAAGTATAGTTCTAGAACACAACACATGACCAGTTCTCTATTACAAGATAACAAGGGTCTCGAGTTACCTACGCTTGAAACTCACTCAACAGTTGATGAATCACAAAAAAAAAACAGTTAAATTTTGGCAACAGCCGCAATCAATTAAAGCCATCAGACAAAAAAAGATTAATCAATCAAGAGAACATCAAAAATTAACAGCAAAGACACAATGCAGAAAAACAAAATTGAGTTGGCTCAAGAAAGTGACAAACACTTTTGACATTAAGAAAGTGACAAACGATTTTGACATGATTTAAACAGAGACGAAGCTGATTTCCATAAACACGAACGAGAAGGCAGCTCAGATACAGGAACTTTCAACTTCACAAAATCTCAACTTTCGCCTTAGATAACATGCAATGTAATAAACTTAGGGTAACCACTCTAGCTTTCTATGTAGTAATTTAAAATGTATTACACCAAATTGCATATAAGTTACCCATTTCAAAAATCTGGAAGTATAAAGATATAAAAAATTTCTTTTAATGGGATTCTAAACATTTTCCTGTTGTAAATTTTTCTGTTTAATGGACGAAATAGGAAACCATCAACACTGTTAACAAACTATTAATAAAATTTCATATCACAAGTTATTATAGTGTTAATGAATCTACTATAGTTCATTTACACTATAGGTTTCCAGAAAATGTTTTTAAAAATATGGGTCAAAAATCTGAATCCCACCCCCCCAAATAAAATAAAATAAAACCCAAAACCATACACTTTCACAATCCCTGTTTCTATTAAACAGGAACTAGATAAGTTGGAAACTAAGCTAACAGAGCTCAAGTCGACAACCAGGAAGCCGAAAAATCATCAGCAGAAAATCATTACTAGAGCTCTATAATTGTTTATAAAGTTTGAGTAGTACCCGGTAGTCAAACTTGAATTTTCATGAAGTTGAGGATGTCAGCATAATTGATTCAAATAATTTATTTAAATTAGAGGTTAAATAAAAAAATGTCTTTATTCCGATTTGGTAACGCTTGCTAATCGCAAGCGTCATTGCACTGTTGTATGAAACAACTGTTTTTTTTTCTCGGTTTAAAGGACAAAAGAAGAAACTATGAACTCTGTTAACTAATCAATAACAAAACTTCAGAGAACAAAAGTTATTATAGTGCTAATGAACCCTTGGAAAATAGAAAAAAGTTGAAAAAAAGTTGCATCTTACTATCACACTACGCTACGATATTTTATGATGTTTCCTGAAAAAGAAGTCTGAAATAACATTCAACGACACTTAGGAACAGTCGAACAACAACTTTAACAGCATTAAAAAGGCTTTTACCGAGCGACCATTAAGCCGACAACACGCCAGTAGACACCTATTGAGCCGAAAAACCTTAAATTATTGTCATCGAAAATTGAACGTTGAGCGATTAAGTTTTAAATCATTGGATTTTTGCACCACAACCAGCTTGAATTAATTTACTATATAAAAAAAATATTTCGTTCAATGTTGCCATTCTACAATATAAAATTATAAGACTAAAACAAAGAACGGAACCCGTAGGACGCAAAAAAAATCAAAATTAGGTCAGGGCTATGATTTTTTCGAGTTACAGGAGTAAATCTACAGCGTGAAAATTTCCAGCAGCGCCGAAGAAACCCAAAATTTGGCAACCAGTGTGACAAAACTTAAGAAGAATAACAAAAGGCAATTTCTTCCCAGAACATTTTTTTCAATTTTAATTTTAGACTTGAACTTGAGAGACTATAGGGCACAAAAGCAACCAAGTTACCTCTAGACTAAGTAGGAACAGATTGCAAATTGTTATGGTTCAATAGTAAAGCAAGTTCATATTCTGACAAATTTAACATAACCAATCGAAGATTGGAAAAGAGTAATAAACGCAAGGAAATATGAAAAAAAAACATAAACTTTCAAGAAAAAATCTCAACTTTCGAATTTCAACAAAAAATAGATGCCCTTCCTCTTCGAATTTCCAGAGAAATTTATGATTGGCGCTTCTTTGATAACATGAAACCTAATAGAATTAGGATCATTAGGTAAAGTTTCATTCCGCTGGATTTCTAAAAATTGAATTACACTTTCGAAAGTAGAAATCGTTCACGTTTTTAGCGCTATTTCCACATTCGTTTTTGGAGAGTACTATTTACGTCACTTTTAGCAGATTAACTTCAATTGAACTCAAAAAGTGCATATATACGTAAGTGCATTCACAAATGCATCAATATGTATGATTACGCATCTGTAGTTATTAGAGACTTTTATGACTTTTCCTGAAAAAAAAACAGATAAAATTAGCAAGACCTATATAAGAGTCTTCACTACGTTCATTTCTCTAAGTAAGAAACAAGTAAATTTCTCGACTTTAAGACATATCCAGTTCGCAAATACAAGACAACAAAGTTTTCGAATTATCTACTCTTGAAACTCACTAAAAAGTTGATGAAAGACCAGAACAATGAATTTTTTTAATAGCCGCATGCAATTAAAGCCACCAGAAAATAGAAAAAAAAAACTAATCAATACAGAGAACATCAAAAACTAACAGCATATACTTTATGCAGAAACACAAAATCGAGTTGGTTAAAAAAACGCTTTTAAGATAACTTACACAGAGGCAAAGCTGCGCTCCGCAAACAAGCGAGAAAATATCAAATAAGCTAAAAAAAACTTGAAAGGAAAAAACTTTTGATGTGGCGGATTCGAAAGTACGGCCGAGAATTTTGGAGTCACACGTACTGGCATCTGCGCTATGGGCCCTTGAAAACTTGCTGATACTACCCAACAATAAAGCAGCTACATATGCTAAAAAAATTCTCAATGATATGCATCACAAGTCACAACAAACAAAATGACACAGATATTTTGCAATTAATCATTTCGATGAAAGAAAAAAATCACACTAACTTTGCAAGAATTAATTTGAAAAGCATACAGACAAATTTGCTTTAAAAAATTCGAGATAAATTGAGTTGGAAAATTTCCAAAATGCAGTTTTGTTATTGTATTGTTGTTTGAAACGAACAGTTTTTTCGGTTTATTTGATAAATTCAGCAAAAGAACAAAAAAACTTTCAAACCACAAAACAAAAATAAAACTGCATATCAAAAATTGTCCATCTCGATATATCTCGCATTCTTTGAGATGCAAAATTTATACATAAATTGGTTGCATGCTTTACAATTTATTAAATGCAAAATTAATAAGAGTGTCTTTAGTTTATTATATTCAAAATGATAACATGCTAAAACATTATGTTCTTAAATATTTTTTTTGCGACTTGTGCTGCATAGCATTGACAATTTATTAGCACATGTAGCTGCTTTATAAGTGGCTAGCGTTAGTAAATTTTCAAAACTATCAACTGCGATAATTTATTACTAAACGAAAGTAAAAGCACGTGCTATCAAAAACCAATGGGGCCAAATATTAGTGAGACCAATATTTGCACCATTACACTACTTCGCCAAAGCTTGCTTGAGTACAGAACATTTCCATTCCAAAAAAATTAATCCACCTACTTTCTTACACTCGAAACCGTAGCCAGCATAGCATAGTTAGGCTAAAAGAGTCGATGAAAGCAAGGAAACTGAAAAAAGATTTTAAAAAAAAACCTTTATTTTCGAAATTCAAAGTAACCAACACATGTCCTTAAAGCTCTTTTGAATCTTTCTGCTCACATGTACTCTCGCCAAAGCTTGCTTGAGTAGAACATATCTCCATACCAATCGAATTATTCCACCTACTTCATTACACTAGAAGATATAGCCAACAAACAGTTAAGAGTCAATGAACGCGTCAATTAACGCAAGGAAACAGGAAAATCTGACTTTTTAAAAACTTTTATTTTCGAATTTCAATTTCAAAAAACACATGTCCTTAAAGCTCTTTGAATCTCAACAAAAAATAAAAGGATTGAGATGAAAAAAAAATTAACTCAATTTGAGAAAGCTGGATCAAAAGTTAACGTTTTTATTCTGCTGGGAAATCTGAAAATTAAAATCCACTTGCGAAACTAGAAGTCAATTAAGTTTTTCGTAACCTTTACATTTTTGCTGTTTGATAAAAGTGTTTACCTTCTTTTTAACAAAGAAAAAGATTGAACTTCAAAAGAAAACGAAAGTAAAAGCGCGAAAAAACAATCTGAAAAAAAAAACGAAAAAATCATCACGAACTATATACAAATCTTCAGTACCAGGGGCGAATCTAGGACTTACCTTTCTTTACGGTCGACCAAATTCGTTTTCCGAGCGCTCCCAGAACACTATAAAAACCTTATTTTTCCAAAAAGGCGTTTTTAGGCACTTTTTGGAAAATTTTTACCAAAAATTACGTTTTTTTGGGCCCACGCTCCCCTTCAAAATTAGTACAAATTGGCGCCTTTAGAAAAATGAAGGATTGTTCAGCCGAAAATGTATGGCATAAAGTAATACCAAATGAGGTACCCTTGAGTTGATGAGGGGGTCGAATCCCTGAAGAGGGAGGGCGTCCACCCTATACCCCTCCCCCTAAAACCACCCTGTGCACTACGTTCATTGACTCTTAAAACAATAACAAAATTCAGTTGTAAGACAGAGTTATCTAATTGTTTCGATAATCCACAGACAGATATTGCCGTTCCCATTTGAGCTACTCCATTAACTTGACAACCATATAGTTGAGCGAGCTACGTTCTATCGAGCTTGGTTTGAACCAATGAGTCGTGGATCTTGTGATGGGTAATAGGCAGTTGGTGCTGCATTTGGTGAGGGCATGTTGGGCGCTATACTTGGTGGTAAATAGGCCGAAGACATCGCCGCAGGCGCCAGGGGAGAAGTCAATCCTAGCTGCGGCGGTGGTGGAAGAACATTGGGACTGCGGTGCATGTGGCGCACTAAAGAGCATAGAACATTGTGAAAGTGCATATAACAGCTAACGGACAAGAAAAGCGCTGACAAACGCACCGAACCAGCGAAACGTTGTTTCAAAAAAGTTCTGGGAAAGAATTGAAATCAGGTATATTTCTCACCAGCATTAGCCATAGTTGAAGCTGATTTCATCTGACTGTTCGCTCTAGCTCCATCAGCAGGGGGGGCCGAGACAGGATGCATATTTGGCAGCAGGATGGGAATGTCATTTAACACAGGCGGAAGCTGCGAACTGCTACTACTAGTATAACTGCCACTAGTTCCAGGTGCTTGATCGTCCTCCACTACAGTCGCTGAAGCAACCTTCTGGCACACAGGTTCTTTTGAACTCTCCGATGGGTCTCCCTCTCGCCGTCTGCTCTTTGCTAAATCAGGTCCAGAGGGAACTGAAAATTCTAAAAACACAGACACATATGTGAAGAAAAGCACGCCAAAACGGAGCTCTTAATACAATGATAGAAAATGATCCAAAAAAATCTCATCTTGTGAAAACCAACAAGTACTTCGGGATGCGCCCAAGGGATTCGTTTTTGAAGGCACATGACTTAATCACTACGTTCAATGAAACAATAGATATCAGTTTAAGGTGGTTCACTTTCAAAAACCTATTTTTGAATAAAACCAAAACAGTTTGAGAAAAATTGAATCAAAAGCCACTCTTGAAATTATAATTAGTCACGCTTTTTACAGCATTTACAGTTCTGTTAATGGAATATATTATTTGACGCGCACTTAGCAAATCTATTTGAAAGGAAATAATAAAGAATCGAAACATCGCGTAAAAAATAGCGTACAATAATCGCGTAAAAATATGTTGCCTTCCATTCGAAGTGAACTTCCAAGCGACCATAAATCAAATTGAAATTGATAAATTGATAATGAAATCAACCGTGAACAGGCCCTCCTAAAACCATACAGCTTTTTCAAGTGGCAGATACCTTCGTTCCCTCACACTTGAAGAAAAGTTGTTAAGCTCCGAAATTTTACAGCAAAGAACTTGACCAGAAAAAAGGATAAGCTCAATGAACAAGGAAACAGATAAGCAACATAACTAACGTTAAAATAGCAACGGTATAAAAAACGATAAAAAGCTCTTGACTCTCAAACTAACTTTTAGTGCACTCTGACAGCTCCCAATTACATGGTTGGTAAATTCAAATGTTTTCGTCTTCAAACTTGAAAAACCATAAAAGCGTCATCTCGAAATCTTAAACAGGGCCTCTGGAGAAATTCGAAGGCCACATTTGCAACCACTGATAGTAAACTTTAAACACCCTACTACCGCGAAAAAAAATTGAAAAAATCATAAACCATAAAAAAATGTCATATCTCGGAAAAAAGATGATTTGAGCATTCATTTTTAGAGGCAAGATTCGCGACGCTGGGTGTATGCCGAAAATAAGGTTTTCTCTTCGCTAAGTAAGGAGTTTCAAAACTTTTTTCTAAGTAAGTCCTTTGAAATTTTTTGAAAATCAAAAACAAAAACGCCGCATCTCGGAAACTAAAAGCATTTAAGCAGTCGGATGTGGACGCAAGATTTGCACCTCTTGAGAGTACCCTTACAGTACCCAAGGATATGGTTGAGAATTTCATATAAAAAACTTTTTAAATATATGTTTTCCGGAAATTTTCTCATAAAAACACTAAAAACGTCAAATCTCGAAAACTAAAAACATATGAGAGTCTGCTACAACTTCTGAGAGTACACTGGCAGCACCCAAGAACAGGGTTGGGATTTTTAAATTTTGAAACCCAAGTTAACTGATAATTTTGGAAAAAATCATTCAAAAACGTCATATCTCAAAAACTACAAAGATTTGAGCAGTCATAATTGCAGGCAAGATTCGCATTCCTTGAGAGTAGTCTGAGAGCACCCAACTACAGGAATGGGAATTTCAAGTTTTGTAATTTATGTAACGTGAGTTTTCGGAAAACTTTTGAAAAAATCACAAAAGGTGTCGTATCTCGTACACTAAAAGGATTTGGTTAGTCATAATTGGAGGCAAAATTCGCAACCCCTTGGTAAATACTGACAATACATATACCGGACAATACAATTACCGGACAATACAATTACCGAACAATTTTATATCGATTTGCATCAATCAGCGCAAGTAAGATTAAACAAACAATACAACTCACCTGAGAAAACTTGAAACATTTTTTGAAACAACAAAATATTGAAAATGATGAAGTTCAAAAAAAACAGTGCGCTGACTCGCTCAACTACAAGGTTAGGAATATCAAACTTTGAAAAAACAACTTTTCTGAATAATTTTGAAAAATCGAAAACGTTATATCTGGAAAACTTCAAAAACATGAGCAGTCGTAACTAGAGGCAAGATTCGCAACCCCTGAGAGTACTCTGATACCCCGCCCGAACTACAGGGTTGGGAATTTCAAATTTTGAAGAAAAAAATTCTGAAATTTTTTTTGAAAAGTCACAAAAAAACTTCAAAGATTAGAGGCAAGATTCGCATTCCTTGAGAGTAGTCTGAGAGCACCCAACTACAGGTTTGGGAATTTCACGTTTTGTAAATTAATTTTAATTTGAGTTTTCGGAAAGTTTTTGAAAAAATCACAAAAGGTGTCGTATCTCGTACACTTAAAGGATTTGGGCATTCATAATTGGAGGCCAAATTCGCAACCCCTTGAAAAATCCTGACAAAATCGCACTTTTTGACTGCTGATTTTAAATTCGGTGAAATAAGAACTTAATTCAAGCTGACAAAACGAAAAAAAAAATCTTAACCATTGCAATATACGATATAGCTTAAACAATATAGCTGAAAAAACTCTTTCGTTAAGCATGCATAAAAAATACATTGAAAAAGCCTAAAAGTGGCGAAATAGTGAAGCCCGCATTTAATTTTATAGTAGATAGATAATAAATTGCTAGATATAATGAGTTGAAATTTTTCTGAAATCGAGCTTTGTGTCATGATGGAACTTTTTTCGGTTCATTTGATGAAAAAAAAAAAATCAGCTCTGCTAAATTTTTACTGATCAAATGTCAAAGCACATCTGATATTATACTGCTACCGCAACCTACCGATTCAAAGTGCCACCAAAAGTAGCACATTCATTTGCGACTGAGGTCGGAAAAAAAGAAAGTTCGTAATAATGCATTTTGCTTCGCAAGTGTGCAACTTGAAAAAGCAACAAAATCAGCTTGACTCCAACTGACGTTGTAACCTGGCCAGCTATGCAGAATACACGCGATGAAACTATTTGTAAACATCACACTGAAGAAAAACCGATTTTTTTTGTTCGGATAAGACAATATACCGAAAAATTTTATATTAATTTGCATCAATCAGAGAAAGTAAAATTATACAAACAACATAACTCACTTGAAAAAACTCAAGTGTTTTTAAACAACAAACAGTTGAAAATGATACACTTCAAAAACAATGACAAAACAATTCAAAATCTAATAATTAATCTTCTTGCTTAAAGAAAAAAATTACTCAGAACAATTCGAATCGAACAAAGATGAAGAAACAAGAAAAAGACGCTGATAAAACCAAAAAAAAAGTTCTGGAGCCAAAAACAAGCCCCAATTTTAAATCCTAAAAAAAAGAATCTCCGGTCAGACAAAAACAAGTTGACAGAAAAAGACAAAAAAAACTATCATTTAATCGTTTGAAAGAATGAATGAGTCTGGAAACGTATCAATTTATCTGAAAGTGAAATAAAATGAGCAACATTTTTTTAAAAGACAACAAAACAACTAAAAAATAAAAAGTAATTCCGTTTAAGACATCGAAACTACTTTTAACTACAGGAGCACAAAAAGTTAATCAGCAAAAGTATAACAACTTAAGTTGACAGAGCAAAAAAAACACTGCGACACAAAAATGAATAGAAAAAGACAAGTCAAAAAAAGTTCTGAAAAAATGTTGGAAAAAATTACTTGAAAAACTAGCTAGACAAAAGTTGAAAAATTACCGCAAAAAAAACCAAATTTGTATCGAATGAAGTTCAACAACAGCCCTTAAAAAGTATTTAGGTGAAAAAGGCGAGAAACTTTGAGTGCAAACCTGTTGAGCCGAAAACAAAACTTGTCAGAAAAATTTTAATAAAAGTTAAGCGTTTACGACCCATCCAATTGAAACACATAATCCCAAACGGATATAATTTGCGCTCCAAATAACGCAAACTCAGTTGAAATAGTCGCTATAACATAAACTGAAACTGTTTGAATATTTTTAAAAAATCTCAAAAATCAGACATGGTAAACTTAAAAATTTGTGAAACTCAGTTATAGCAAAAACTGTTTACATTGGAACAAAAGCCATGCTTTAAAAAGTAAAAACAAAAAACCCTGCCAGATAAAAAAAGGGCGCTAAAGAAAAGAAAAAAGAACCGAAAGACACTAGGACGAAAACCACACACCCGAAAAAAAATTAAGATTATTATGCAAGATAACAACAACTGAAACGGGCTCGAACTAATTACTTCTTAATTGATAGCACTTTCATTTAAATTTGAAAGATTCCGTAGAAGTGAAGACCCTCTGGAAGAGGTAAAGATCCTGTGGACAAAAGTGTTACGGGAAAAAAGTATAGTATCCGATTGTAATACCCTTGCTTATCGCAAGGGTAAATAACAAATGCGTCTAGCAAATTTGAACAAAACTACCTAAAACTTTGAGTTGATTTAATTCTGATTTTGTACGACTATAGATGGCTACCTGAAAAAAAAACGGTTGGAATCCAATGAGAAAAAATTTTAAAATCAAATGTCGATAAAATCAAAAAAAATGTGCAATAACTGATGAGCTATTTTATCTGCACCAAAAACAATGCGCTTAATACAACCAATCAAACAACCAAAAATAGCAAAAGTTTGAACCAATTCTGTTACTTAAACTGAGAACAAAGAGTCTAGAACTGAGAGTCTAGAAAACTGATTTGAACTTTTCCAAAATTTCATGTTAGTCTTAAATTTTCAAATTAGAATATTTTATTTCACCAAAAATAACAGAAGTTTGAACCAATTCTGTTACTTGAACTGAGGAAAAAAGAGGATCTTTACCTGAGAGTCTAGAAAAATTCTCTTTTCCAAAACTTCAAATGAGAAATCAAAAAATCCCTCATCATACCAGTTACTCGGAAAAAAATAAACATTCGGAAAATAAGGTAACGAAATTAAAGCCGACCTCTTCCAGCGCCGAAAATCTACCGAAAAATTTCGGCACAGAGAAAAATACCTATAAAAAACTCTTAACAGGATCCCTAAGCCCATACCTAATATGCAACTACTAAACACAACACAAAACATGGTGCTATTGAAATGATTATCATTTCAATCCGTCCCCATTCTGTGAACAAAGTTATTTTTAGGAAAACAAGACTACTGCCCGATTGCAATACCCTTGCTTATCGCAAGGATAATATAGTCAAAGGGATTCGAACGGAACGTTAGTTATGTTGGGAGATTCTGTAGTTAGTTACTACTAAATAGGGAATTGGAATTAAACATAATCAGGAATTCGTCTTACCGGGCAATCCTGGAACTGTTTGATAATTGGGAACGAACTGTAATCCGATATTGGCGCCCTCTTTGCTTCCCCAATGGCCACCTGCAGCCCCCGCCCCTTGAGGTCTTCCCCATCTGACATTGAGCCTGTGGCCTTTAATGATTAGCTTGCCAAAGAGAGCCTGTGCTGCCTGCTCTGCTGCAAAGCGCGTTGTGAACTGCACGAATGCACACTGCTGTTTGAAGGCAACTGAGATGGATCGTATTTCACCAAACTGGTAGCAGACGTCCCTAAACAGCAACAGCAGATATTCACAATTCCCTTCCCTACACTAACTTTACTGTTCTATTTTTCTAGACTAAATGGCCAACAACCGCACAGATTGTGCAGCAAATACAAGACGACAGAGCAGTTTGCCCGTTGAGTGTACTTTGGCTTCTGGGCAGATTGTTTGTCAAGCAGTAGGCAGTGCATTTGATTTAAAAAGTTCACACACATCAGCTCTTATCAAGTAGTTAATTATTCAGAGATACCTAAAATTACCAGCAACAAACATAACAAATTAAATGAGGAGGAGAGTCAAGAGCCAAAAAACAACCTTATATCACTCTCGTTGATGCCTTCGTGCACATTTCCCAGGTAAAGAGTAGTTATGCTCAAGTCTTCCGGGATGTCTAATTTGGGTAAATTAGAAGCCCGATTAAGAAGTTTCTTCGCGACCGGATCATTTCGTCCAAAATATCGGTCTTTTATGTTCTGATGCGCCAGCGGATCATCCGGATCTGTAGGCTTCTCATGTCTAAAAATGAGCATATTTTGAACATTGCCAACAGAAGGTTGGGAAAGAGTCAAGGATCGCAAGGTAACAAACACTGAAACAAGAAAAATTTCAAGTTAAGAATTTCGAAAAAAATATCTGTAACCTTAAACTCTTCAAAATTTACAAAAAATATCATTGAACAGCCAATATAAGATTGGGAAAGAGCAATGAACGCAAGTAAACATAAGAAACACTGACTTGTTGAAAAAATCTCAAAAAAAAATAGATGCCCTTTAAGCACTTTGAATTTCTAGATCGATTTACGATTGGCGCTTTTTTGATGACTGTAGCCCACCTTGACAAAACTGGATGAATCAATAGGTAAAGTTTTTATTCCGATGGAAACTAAAATTAAATTCCACTTTCGAAAGAAAAAATCGTTTACGATTTTTCGCGCCATTTACACGTTCGTGTTTAGAGAGTGCTATTTACGTCAATTTCAGCAGATGAATTTCAATTTAACTTAAAAAGTGCACATATACCTTAGTGCATCAAAATTTAAGGACGTTTTCCTGAAAAAAAACAGCCAACTGACAGTTGGAAAAGAGTAATATACGCAATGAAACTGAAACAAAAACTGATGTTTTTTTTTTTTTCAAAAATCTTCAACTTTTGAATTTCGAAGGAAAAAATAGATGCCCTTCAAGCTCTTTGAATTTCTAGATCGATTTACGATTGGCGCTTTTTTGATAACTTTAAGCCACCTTGACAAAACTGGATGAATCAATAGGTAAAGTTTTTATTCCGCTGGAAATCTAAAATTAAATACCACTTTCGAAAGTAAAAATCGTTAACAATTTTTCGCGCCATTTACACATTCGTGTTTAGAAAGTGCTATTTACGTCAACTTCAGCAGATGAATTTCAATTTAACTTAAAAAGTGCACATATACCTAAGTGCATCAAAATTTAAGGACGTTTTCCTGAAAAAAAAAACAGCCAACTGACAGTTGGAAAAGAGTAATATACGCAATGAAACTGAAACAAAAACTGATTTGTTTTTTTTTCGAAAACCTTCAATTTTTGAATTTCGAAGGGAAAAAAAGATGGCCTTAAAGCTCTTTGAATTTGCAGAACAATTTATGATGGACACTTTTTTGCTAAAATTAACCCAATTTGAGAAAACTGGATCAATAGGCAAAACTTTTATCTCACTGGGATATCTTATAACTAATTTCCATTTTCGAAATTAGAAGTCGATCAAGTTTTTCGTGATTTTTACATTTTTGCTGTTCGATAGTGGATTTTGCCTTCCTTTTAACAATGGAACTGCACTGAACTTAAAAAGAAATCACAAGCCAAACCTCGAAAAATCAAAATTGAGCGTGAACAAATTTAAAGACTTTTCCTGAAAAGACAAAAAAAAATCAGCAAGGCCTATATAAAAGTCTTCACTACGTTCATTACTCTTAATAAAATTAACCAAATATAATGTTTAGATTAACTGTTTACTTTTTTTCTTTCGCTGAGAAATCTGAAAACTTAGGCAAATCTACTTTCGAAACTAGAAGTCGATCACGTTTTTCGTGACCTTTGCACATTTGCTGTTTGCTAGTGGAGTTTGCCTTCTTTCTAACAAATCAAATGAAGTTCATTGACTCTTAATTAATATTACAAAGCGAGCATAAAATCTCGAAGACAAAAACTCAAAAAAAAAACGAAAACGATCGTAGCTAAATTATTCTCTTCACTCAATTCGTCAAAATGCACGACATTAAGAAATGTTAAAAGAATTCGTTGATCCTTAACATCATATGACATGTTTGCAGAAAACTATCATTTCTCACCGGTAAGGACATTCTTCGCCTCGTTTACATTCGCCCTTGACCCAGAATGAACAAATATGAGGCAAATTCCTTCGGTAATACGGAGTAGTGCGAGCCAGTTTCATCAACATGTCACTAGGTTGACTAGCTTTGCCCTGCATGATAGCCATAGCTGGATTTCCATCTGCACTAGAACCGAACTGAAAAAACATAACCCACATAATGTACTCAAAGAATATAGAAAACAACAACAGATTTTTGTATGAAAATGTTCGGTTTCCAAGAAAAAAAACTGTGATGCCTTAAGTCCTTTAAAATCCCTCAATGTTTTACGATTTGCACTTTTTTGATGATTTCTTTGTTCAACGACAAATTTGTTCATAAAATATAAAATCCACTTTCGAAGAAACTCAAAAGCAAAAAATGTTTTTTTTCTCGTGATTTGCACCTCAGTTATTGAAGAGCGTAATCGTCCTTCTATTAGTCAAATGAATTTTGATTCAACTTGAAAAACATAGCCGAATACCACTTTTTCAACATTACTAGCTATCAGCCAATTTTTTTGCTATCAGTTTTTGATAATTTGAACAGGTTTGCGAAAACACAATTATTTCAGAATCAATATATCAAAAATTGAAACCTTGAAAGATTAAAAAATGTTTTAATTTGTTGGCTTTGTTTAAAATGTTTAAGCTTTTGAGCTTTATATTCAAAATTTTGACCTTTTTCAAATTCGTTTTCGTAGCCTTAATGCAGTTTTTCAAGCGCGAATTCGAAGAACAGACCTGATATATTTTCCGTGCTTAAATACCGAGACTCGGTTCGCGAAAAGTTGTTTTTTAAAGGTGGCCGGTCAATGAACACGAAGGGTCTCAGTTTATACGTTTTAAAGATATAATTTTGGGTACGAATTTGTCGAATTGAATAGCACCAAAATATTCTGGTAAAACTTGTTTTATCCTCGTTATTTTTACCGTGTAAAGGTAAGAAAATGTGAGAAACGAAACAAAATTATACAAATATGTTAGTTTTATCCGATTGCTTTCAACACAGTCGAAGCTGCTACTACGCTAACCAGCAAAAAAGGGGAAAAAACGAAAGACAAGATAAAATTTAAAAAAACCTTCTATGAGCCGGGAGCAAACCCCAGGCCTGGAGATTTAGAGTCACACGTCTCTGATCATTGGGGCTCAACAATCGTTAAATACTAGCCATCAAAAAAACTAGATACAAAAATATAATGCTATGCAGCAAAAGTAAAGCAGATATTAGGTTAATGCTGCAAAAGAGCCACCAATAAATGACCGTTTTTATTCGCTACTTGGTTTAGACAAAAAAGATATCGTAATATGACTCTGTTCTGCGCTTGTTTAATGAGCTAGTTCAGCACAAAATGCCGTGAAAATTGAATTAACTGCAAAAAAAATGCGTGAATAGAAAACAATCCAACTTAATGAAAAGTATCATCAAAACTCGCCGAATCTTTGCTGCCTAAATAGGTATAAGTGACAATGGCGCCAGATACTAAACAAGAGAATACAATTTATTGAATGTAAGATAGATCATTAATTAATTTGATTTTTAGGCGGAACAACATGTTTTTTTTTCAACATTTTTTAGCGTCGGTCAGCCAAAAAGGGATGTTCTAAAATAATGAATAATGCCAAAGAGGCACCCTTTGTGCAATCAGGACGGGAGAGTGGGACGCTCGCCCTTCCTCCTTAGCATGCCTCTGAAATCGCATAAATAATTGTTTCAATTCACATTCCGACATGTAAAAATGATAAAATGAAACCAGCTACGCCGGCGCCGTTGAAGAAAAATTGCTGTAACGCTTAAAAAAGCAAATTGACCAATAATCGATCTAATTTTCATTAGAGAAAGAGAACCAAGAGCAAGAGGCACTTAAATTTTTGTATCGACAAAGCAACTGTGTATAAATATAGTGTATCCAAGGAAACATTTACAATCCAGTTGAAAATAATTTGGATAGCTGCCTTAAAGTTAATTTGTACAGAGGCTTCGCATCACTTGCGATACAACACAAACATTTAAAAAAAACGAAAAACGTTGAAAAAACTAGGTCTACTAAAAGTGTCGTATGTCTCGATAAAATTTCAACCTAGGCAACATGCCAAGCAAAACATTTGAATTTTAAATCAGCAACGGAACAAAACTGACGAAGCGGAAACCGAAAATTTTTCAGCAGAACACAGTCGAACCGAAAAAATGATTTTGCAAAAAAAAGTTCAAAGTCCCTTAAAACAGAACTAGCGTGTAACGCACCTACGGTGCTTCCAATGTGTGACAACTCATGAAAAACTGCACACATTGGAAACCACATCTGCAGACTTTTAGTGTACTCTGACAGCACCCAATTACATGGCTGGTAATTTGATATTTTATTAATTTTTTAATTCCTATTTTCCGTCAGCTCGAAAAAATCAAGTCTCGAAAAGTAGAAATATTTGAGTAGTCATATTTGGAGGCAAGATTCGCAAATCCTGAGAGTAATCTGACAGACCCTAACTACACGGTTGGGAATTTCAGATTTTGAAAAAAAAATTGTTACGGTTTACTGAAAATTTTTCGAAAAAATCACAAAAAAACGTGATATCTCGAGATCTACCAGGATTTGAGCAGTCATATTTGGAGGCGAGATTCGCAACTCTTGAGCGTACCCTGACAGCACCCAACTACAGTGTAAGGAAAGATAGAAAAAGCTAGAAAAAATGATACAAAAGATACAAAAAATGCAAAAAAAAATAGATAGAAGAAAAAAGATAAAAAATAAGATAGAAAAAAAGATTGAAAATCCAGATAAAGATACAGAGAGATTGTAGGCAACCATTTGACAAAATTACTATTCTGAACTAAATCGTCGAAACCAAAATAAAAATTAGGAGACGGGTAGACAGACATAATCAAATTAAGTAAAAAAGAAGGTATTCAGACAGACAGACTAAATTTGGCCTCGAAAAAATTACTGAAAAATTAATGACCTTGCGAAAAACGAATTGAAACATTTTCTTAAGCATTGCAGTATATGATATAGCTTAAACATGAAAAAATTCTTTCGTTAAACATGCAAAATTTTTAAGCTTAAACATGGGAGATAGCTGTCACTAGCATTTAAATATAGTATAGATATAGATAGATAGATAGATAGATAGATTGAACAACACTTGCAACTATAATGAACATACACAACTGACAGTTGGAAAAGACAAAAAACTGACTTGCGTTTCGAAAAAATCTCAACCTCCAAAATTCGAAGAAAAATAAACAGATAGCCTTCAACCTCTTTGAATTTCTAGAACAAATTATGATTAGCTTTCTTGATAATGCTAACACAATTTGAAAAACCTGGATCATTGGGTAAAGCTTTTATTCCGCTGAAACCTGATAATTTAACTCGATTTCCAAAATTAGAAGTCTATCAAATTTTTCGCGACTTTTAATTCGATAGTGGAGTTCGCATTCCTTTCACCAAAGGAAATGAACTGAACTTGAAAAGAAATCACAGCTCAAACCGCGAAAAAAATAAATTTGAGCCTGAAAAAATTTTAAGACTTTTTCCCCGAAAAAACCAAAATAAATCACCGCGACCTAAATCAGAGTATGAACTAAGTTCATTGAATTAGAAAAACAGGCATGATCCCGGATTCGAAAGCTTAATCCTTCCAGCCATAGCCCAGCTCCTTACGCCGACACTACTAGACCCACATTTCCATAAAAAAATTACCTTCATTAATAAAGCAAGCTATCGATAGTGGAGTTTGCCTTCCTGTCACCAAAGGAAACGAACTGATCTTAAATAGAAATCACAAATCAAACCGCAAAACAGTAAATTTGAGCCTGAAAAAACTGTAAGACTTTTTCCAGAATAAAAAACAAAAAACAAATAATCGCGACCTATATAAGAGTCTGAACTACGTTCATTGGCTCTTCCCCCCCCCCCACCACTTCATTTTTCCTCCTCCTCCCCCACCCCCCACTTCACACAAGCAACAATTTTATGGTCTAACGAGTGGTTTTATAAGGTTCATTTTGAATACCAAATATGTTTGTCTTGGACTAATTTATCTGCTTGTCAATTTTCATGAAAATTGGACAATGTGAACAGTAATTCTAATTATGAAAAAAGTGCAGGTGGGTGGGGGAAGGAAAAAGAGCCCGTTCATTGGATTAGAAAAACTGGCATGATTCCCGATTCGAACGCTTGACCCTTCCAGCCATAGCCCAGCTCCTTACCACGACACTACTGGACCCACATTTTCATGAAAATTACCACCATTAATAAAGCAAGCTATCAGATAAGTCATTCTGTTAAATTAGCTGTTAAAAGTATATATTACAGTTTGATAACGCTTGCTTATCCCAAGCGTAATTAATACCTTGAATTGTATTAATTTCTTTTCTCAAAACGCTTTCCCCTGTACTCTCGTATTAAGTCACATTAGCACCAAAACATGTACTTACCATTTTTTCTGTATTCTGAATGTAATATTCCCGGTTAACAATTGATTTGGGAACATCATCTTGTACTTCCACGGCGGTATCTCGCACCTGCACAGGCAATCCTACATGCAAAAATGGAAAAGATGGGTTAACAACAAACTTAGGCGAGCTCTTTTTTTACAATTTTTAAAACAAAATAGATAGAGATCCAAACTGGCAAAAAGTTAGCTGGAAGCAACTCTAACATTTTCATATGAAAATCAAGAGAGCCTGATTGCTGTTCAAGCAGCACAGAAAAAAAATACACCAACAACTGGACACTGACGTGAAGTGGAGCTTCGCAACAAAAGCGATACAATTAAAACACTGCATTGCAAGAATATCAAAAGAAGGCAATCATTTTTTTTTGGAAAAACTAAGCTGAAAAATTTATTTGAAAAAAATACACAAACTTTCATACCTCTCTCGAATGAGATTCATAAACAGCCTAACCATGCACTCAATATCAAAGACCGATCGGCAAGTATTTTTGCGCCGACCCTCGTTAAGCAGATAACGGAGCTTCCTATCAAAAATTGCAAGCTATGAAATTTTTTAGAATTATATTTTGAGGACAGGGACCTCCTGAAACAGGCAAAAGCATTTAAAAAATAAATAATCAAAATCAATAACCACAAATAAAAAAAAACTCAATTTAAAATCAAACTCAATTTAAAAAATGGTAAGAAATAGCACCAGCATGGCGGGAAAAAGCAGGAAAGGGAGGAAAAAAGAGCACCAGAGGGAAGAAAAGTGAAAAAAGAGAGAAACAAACTGCGTAAGTCTAGATGGCTCGAAATTGTGAACACACTGATAGGCAAGAGGAGATCCATCCTGACTAGCGAGGATTGGAGGGCCGGGGAAGGGTGAAGATTCCGAAGGTCCTTAAGCGACTCGTCACTTTTGGACACGAGGCCTTCAGAGCAAAGTGCTTTAGCTGCTCTGTCAAACTGACCAAGACCTACTAGCTTTTTAGCTCTGCGGAAATTAAAGTCGGAAGAAGGTTTACCGTTTTTCTCCATTCACTCTTTAGGTCTTTTAATAGCGTTAGACTAGAGGCTCGAGAGGTTACCCTCTTTCCGGGACTTGATCCTTTGACTATGTCTTTGCAGTTATTTGCGCCGACCTTCGTTAGGCCGAAAACGAAATTAAAGTCTTAAAAAAATTGCGTGCTATAAAATTTTTAAAAACTATATTTTGAGGACAGGTACCTCCTGAAACAGGCATAAGCATTTTACAAATTTAATGTTCAAAATCAATAACCACAATTTAAAAACTCAAAATCGAACTCAATTTGAAAAATGGTATGAAATAGCATCAGCATGGACGGAAGAAGCAGGAAAGGGAGAAAAAAGAGCACCAAAGAGGGAAGAAAAGAAAAACGAAAGAGAAACAAACAGCAAAAGACTAGATGGCTCAACTGACAATCAGAGTGGCCTTTCCTCTCATGAAAAGATTAAGGCTTTTAAGGAGGTGCACTGGAGCAACACGCGCGTCCTGGGAACAAAGACGTCTAGCGTCATCGAGAATAGCGGCCACTTTGAGGAGTTTGATAGCCACAGCGAACCAACCCCCGAGCGTTTCAACTGCTAACGGGAAGCAAGTAATTCCTTGTTCCTCGCAGTTTTTATCGTGTTTCTAAAACTTAAGGTCCTCAGCAACTTCGTGTGAAGCCGCACGTGAGAGACAATATAACTCTACCAAACTGACCAAGATCTACTAATTCTTTAGCTCTGCGGACATTAAAGTCAGAAAAAGGTTTACCGTCTTTCTCCTTTCACTCTTAGGTCTTTTAATAGCGTTAGAAAAGAGATTCGAGATGTTACCCCGCTTTCCGGGACTTCATTCTTTGACTAATGTCTTTGCAGTTATTTGCGGCGTGAGACTTACCACTTCGACGAGGGGCTTTCGAGATACAATTAGGGAGCATGAACAGCGGAGACCAGTTTTCCAGGTTGTCCGGTACTGCGGCGCAGTTGTCTAGGGTGCTACCAACGACCTCAGACCACTCTTTACGAAGGGAAGTCAGGACGTATCGGAACGTATCAACTCTGGAAAACATGATATCAGAAAGATCCGGTATGACACTTTTAAAGAAAGTCAGTGCGCTCAGACAATATCGTCGTATTTGACATCGCCTGGGAGACATCAGAACAAACAGGAGCATCCAGGGGAAAGAGAACTCAGGTAGGTGACAGAGATATGGCTGGGGACAGCAGACGCAAGTGGTCAGATTGGACTGCAAGAATACCAGCCTATATAAGCATATCCATGGGAAAGCCGGAAAAATTGATCCAGCCGAGGAGTCTAACTCCAACCACAAAAACAAACAAACAAGTGATCGTTGTCAACTTTGAGGATAGAAGCATGATAAATAGAAACATCCGATGGTCAAATCCAAGATAGCAATAGACGAGCTAGCGGTCTGCACCGTTAATATATCTGAACAACTGTGAGGGGGCAACAGACGGACAGGGATTACTTCCAATATAACGAGCGCATGAAAGAAGTAGCAATAAAATGTTATAAGAACGACAGATTTGAGTTGAGTTTAAACTTTCGTGACCGCAACTCTAGTGATGATTGTGGATCAGGTTTCTCGCGAGCCAGCAGCAGCAGATGAGAAGATCCAACTGAGATTTTACCATTCTGCACACGATGGAATGCTAAAAATAGACGCACTGTACAAAAGGAAGATGCAAACAATTGCATGCCTAACATAGGAGAGGTCTCAGGTAGGAGAGTTCAGCATGCCTAACATAGGAGAGGTCTCACATAGGAGAGTTCAGATCAGATCGTAGGTGGCACGCAACGAGGAAACCAGTGGTCCCCCTTTTGGCAGGTCAGGAGGTGCAGAGCGACAAGGCAGGTGATAAAATTATTCAAAATCAGAGTTGGTAAATTAAAAAACAACAGAACAACAGAACAACTTTCCATTCTTGTAAACACAATTGAATCAAAAAACAAAAAACCTAAGCTTTGAAAAGAAACTACGTGGAAGATGTACCAGATAATATAATCGTTTTTGGAAAAAACGGGAAAAAACGGACAGAAATTAGGACGAAAACTAGAAGTCAAAAAAACATCACCATTTTTTTAACAAATATATTTGAAAAATTTAAATGATATCTCAACTGAACAACGGAGTACTTTTATTTGCACTTTCAAGAATTTCAGCACAGTTGTTTACGGGAAAAAAATCTAGTTCTCGATTAAGAGTCCCTTGAGAGATTCGACCTCCGATTGTTCTACCGCATAAGACCCATCGAAACATTGTATCAAGATCCTAGATTGTCTGTGAGCTTATTTTTCTCAAGCCAACAATGTCATTGTAGACAACGCCACCGCAGTTCATGTCGAGATTTGTCAAAAATAAGGATTTACAAGCTTGAGTTGGCTAACTTCCATATTCGTACAAAACTCAACGTTCAAAATATTTTTGGACTGCTCGAATTATTCTTCATTTTTTTAAATAATTTGTTCTCATGACAATGCTCCGATTCCGAAACGCTTGATTATAGCAATCGTAAACAAGCGCGGTTTCAATTTTTTAAGTGAAATAACAATACAAACCGTATTCTAGATCCAGTAGACAGGTTTGACAGATATTTTTCAATTTGCAACAAGTTTGACAAATTTCTGTTCTCTTGTATCGCATTTTGGAGCCCGGGCACCATCGAAAAATAGTGAAAGGCCTGCTACAGATTTTACAAGAATCTCCATGTTTTTCTTTCAGCTAAATTAACAAAAAATTAACCACCCAACTAACCAAAAGTAGGATCAAATAAATTTAAGTCAAAAAGATACCATTCGCATATAAGGATTGTCCCCGAGGCAAGTTTGGCAGATAATTGGAAAGTCCTAAACAAATAGAAAGATAATTAAAAATTGTCCCTTAAAACTGAAAATTTCTCGATTGAAGAAACGGAGTCGTACTGATTCTTCCCAATTCAACCGATTGTATGTATTTGCTGATTTCGATATCGCCATAATCTGAAAGATTACCTTATTAGGACTTTTTCGAAAGAAAATACCTTGATTGGTATGAAGCTTTTATTTTCAAATTACTGGCAATCATTCAATTCACAGAACAATCAGAAATCATGAGAAGTATCAAATACATTATTCACATAAGAAAGCCGTTTATCCTCTAATTGCCAATCAAACGCGTTGCTCATGCTTGAATTGTTGTGATAAAGTTATTTTAAAAAAGGTTAACTAAAATGGGCCCTTCCGTCATGCGACGGTCCGTGAACAGGTTGGATAGGGACATACTAACGCTAAAAACATCGGCAAAATTTTATGATTAAATAGAGTCGATTCTTAAACATCCAGATAACTGGTTTTTGTAACATTCACCTGGAAATACATACCGACGGAAAACAAAGCTAGGCCCTAAAACGACTGACTAGCGTCTAAACACAGCTTCACATGCTTTAAACCATCTCTACCAAAGCCAGTTCAATGAGTGGTCTCCATTAACATCGGGTCGACAAAAGCTAACGGCCAGATCGATAGCCTTACTATTTAAGGCTATCGGTCAGATCGCACAAATTTTATTTTTTTTCTTTTATTTTAAAATAATCAGAAGGTCAAAAGTATCATAGTAACCGAGGTTACAGTCAGGAGTCCCTTCATCACGTATTCCAGTCAAAATCCTTGGAATTTTCTAGATATGGATGTGATAATGATAAAAGAAGATGACAAGTGTTTAAGTCCTTTTCAATTAAAATTCATACGGGTTACGTTTCTTCAATAAGAACACGCAACTCGACACGAGAAAATATAAAATACAAGTGTTACAAATAAAAAATTTCGTCGAAAGTTATTTTGTCATTTATTGTTCCGAGTACGCATGCGGCGTTCGTAATCTGTATTGCCAGGGAGATTCTCTGTTTTAAAAAGCTGCCTGCTCTGGGTTCCTCAGTGCATATGCTTAGGTTCTTACAAAGCTTGCTCAAAAAAATTTCTGTGCTGGGCCGGCCGCGCTCTGCATTTCGAAAGCTAGCGGTTGAAAAAGATATCCATCATTTACAAGATTTTTATACTTGTCAATTTTTCGCTCTTCCGCTTCAGCGGCAGCCGTACCAGGGTTACAAACAGACCCGGCATTAATCCTACAAGGAGCTAAGGAGTCTACTACCGTTACATCCCACAAGAGCTGCTTACCAATAGCCAATGGAACGAGCGTCAAACCGTCTGGTCGCTTCTTATCGGTCCTGTAGAGGTGTCGTGGTTCTAAAACAGACCGATTGTGAGTAGAAGATAAACTCTGCTTTATAAGGGCATTCAGGTTTGAATGCCTGGAGAATCTCCCTGCAATTTTGAGGCAAGAAAGACCATGCCAACCATCCTCGGTAACGTCTTTCCGCACACGCATTTATGCCGTTCGCATATTTTGAGCCTAATCGAAGTCCTATCGCAATTCTGAGTTGTTGGTTAGACAGTTTTAACCTTAAATTTTTGCACGGGATGACGTTCAACCATAGGGAGCCAAATCTATCTTGGAACGCGTTGAATCTTTTTACGTCCGTTGGTTCGAGTCGTAAAATCAAGTCTGCACCGTCCAATTTTTTTGGGGATCATTTTCCGGAGCCATTTCAATTTTTCCAAGTTCAAACCACCGTTTAAGCGCATCATCATAGGTTCCATCCACATGCTCCAAACCAAAGAATTCGCTCAGGGCATCTTTTGCTCCTACTGCTGAGGCTAAGAAAGCGCGTAAAGCGAGTAGACGAGCGGAAGTAACGCCCAAGCCACCTTTGCCTGCCGTGAGAACTGCTTGTGAAAACTGGTTATCATCCAATTTCACGTAAGTGACCATGCATAACGAATTTCTTAATATCTTGTCGTAGCGTTCCAAAAAATCATTTTGCAAATAACGAGGGCTAGTACGCAAAAAATATAGGAGTTTTGGCATGCTAAAGCAATTTTTCAGGAGGTAAAAAGTATAATGGGCGTCTAGTTTGTCAATGACATTCGAAATTTTTTCAAGTTTTTTAATTTTTTCGTCGAGCAATTCTTTTCGACAAAGTTCGCCGACTGGAGATCCTAAAATGAGAATTCTTCTTTTGTTTTTATTTTTATTTTGGGGCATATTTTTCGAAATTGTGTTAAAATTGAATTATACTGTGTACTAGTAGTCAGTCCCAAAAAACAAAGTTCGTACTTCTCTTTTTTCAAGCTCAGGCTGTAAACTTGTTCAAATTTCAGAATGTTTTTAAGGTCCTGGAGTACTACCTTATAGTCGTCGGCTAAATTTCCATCATCCAAATACCAGATGTTAGTTTTTGACTCCAACTGTTTGACTAGTGTATGAATTGTTTCCGCAAAAAAGGGTTGAGCTTCAGTATCACCTTGCTGAGTTCCGTCTTCTGACATTATGACAGAGCTTCCGGAAAAAAGGTAACTAGGTTTACCATACGCGCAATGGGTGTAATTATACAATTCGGGGCGATTTGAATAAACATGATTCAGCATTGTTTCTCTTAGAGAGTTGAAGGCATTCTTAAAATCTAGTTTTAAAAGAACAGTGCATTTTGGATTGTCGTCGCGTTCAATTAGGTTTCGAAACGAGTGCGCTGCTATTTCTGCTCCTCGTTTGGTACCGCATCCTACCTGTACGTTTCCGAAAAAATTTTGTCGCTCGGAGAGGGCCTTGCTTCCAGCGCATTTAGACGCGATACGTCTCAGCGTGTTGCCTATGGCAATCGGTCTCAACCCTCCGTGTATCTTTATGGGGGCGACAAGCATTGCGCCAAAAAAGAAAGGCCTTAGAGTTTCGGGTATTTTGCCATCTCCAATGAGGTTTATCAGCTTAGTAAGCGATTTCAGAAAATTAAGTCCTGCACTGCCATTCGACTCACTAACAAGGTCTTTAAAAATTTGAGGAACTATTTTGTCAGGACCTGCTGCTGAGTCGTTCGGAAAGGACATTATTGCTTTGTATAGGTCGAAATCGGTTACAAAAAACTATACAACTTTTCTGGATTTGGAGCTGCAAATTTGGCTCGCTGAGGGTGCTTAGACAACAGTTTTTGATAGTTATCAGTTGAAAAAGGAGCAATTTTGTCATCCGAAGCAGCAAGCCTTATTCCTACCTTTACATTTCCTTCATCGAGCTCACTACTTATTAGCTTTATTCTCTGCTCGAGGTCACTTAGAGGCGGGCTTGAAACTTGGGGATGGGGTTTTGGAAGTGACACGTCATTTGCTCGAATTTTTTTATTTATCAAAGAGCTCATGCTTGTGGTCTGTTTGCGTCCACTTCTTCTCGGTTGCTCCAAAAAAACAAGAACGACGTTAAAAAAATTAGCCGTTTTGTAACATCTTCTACACTGTAGATGATGTCATTTATTTTGTCCGACAGCATTTCCACCAAGGAAACACGCGAGTCTTTTGGTACTCTCTTGAGCACTCGGGCATTTGAGATGACTGTATTAACATAATTGTCTAGCACTATATCATTACCTATTGTTGCTTTATTAACAGATTTTACATCAACGCATAAAGGGTTTTCCTAGAGTCGCTAAGAGAAATAATTACACAACTGATATCATGCCAACTAAAACAACAATCACATCTAATCCAATTTATCAGTCCTGAAGGTTTTAAGCAATCTTTGCTTGTACACTCTTTTTTGTTTTTCCTCATCTTGACGCAGCATAAAGGTAAAAAAAGGATTTTGACTGGAATTTAGGGCCTCTCCCTTGTTGGATTTCAACAATTTAACTTAGTTACATGCAAAAATAGTGAATTCAAGGCTGGGTCTCAGAATCCCGACCACGAGGTCAATCCTAAAAACAGGACTACTACTTATTATCATTTTACGATTGTTTTTGTTTAGTACATGAAAATTATCATATCCATCGGATATAATAAATTTAAAATGTTAATTCAAAGTTTTTGCCAATTTTGTGCATTATCAGGATTAAAAACTTTTTTTTTACAATATTTACATAACGATCAAGGATCTGAAAAATGAGAATCATGTCTAAAAAGGCTCTAAAAACTTTTAAACAATCAAATTTAAACAACTGTAATTACATAATAAATTACGTAATCATGAATAACATTTTCCTGTAAATTTCTGAGATTTTTTTAGTTTTTTGTTCTTTCATGGTTAGAAAATTTTGATTTGTGAACATTTTCGATTCTGACATGTCACTTTTTTAACTTTTATCCATGTTATACATAGAGTATAATTTTAGTGTTAATTCCCGGCTTCTGAATTCATCGCGTGTGTTGATCCTCGGCCTCTCCCTCCAAATATGCAAAGCCTCTAGTATCAGTAGCTAATGAGTGTTGGCCGTTTGGTCTTTTATCTCTGACTTCAGATCAGCAGTACCGGCTATCTCCTTATTACATTCTAACAAGTGTTGCCCTACTGGGGAGTTCCCTTTGCGGTGTTCATCGACAATCGTGGCTAAATGTCTAGCCGACATAGGTGGAGTTACATCCACTACATTTAATCTTATACACCACTTTTGATCTCAGTTCACGAGCAAAGGAAGTTTTGAGGGATGGCAAGCATGTTTTTAATTTTCTTGTCGTAAAAATTAATTGTTTCCCGCATATTAGGCGAACCTTTGCAGCTAACAGTCGAGATGGATTACCTTGATATTGCATTGTAAGAAGGGGGTGAGTTTTTCAACCATTTATCATTTCTCGGTTCTGATGCCTTCACCTCTAAATTTTTCTTTGCCTCAACAATCTTGTTAAGAGTTTCAAACACTACCCTGTCCGACTAATTTTTTGGGATACTGATTTTCAATCCATTGTTTTGATTTAGAATGGTGCCGGTATCAGTGGGTTTTTGGTACCAACCACATGTGACCTTTTTTTTCCTGAATCCACGTTGACACTTAATTCCGAAAAGGCCAAAAAACCGTTACCATCAAGTTCTTCTACAGTGAACTGCAAGTTTGGATGCAACTTATTGGCAGCCTCGAAAACTACCCCAAGATCGCCCTTGACAGTTCTAACTATGT